CGGGCCAGGGTCGGGAGCGAAGGGCGGCGGGAGGCGCTGGAGGAGTTCAAGGCCTTCGTGGACCTGACCTTCCCAGGTGCGCGCAGGCCGGGCAGCCCCTGCTGGGTGGGCCCCCGGCCACTGTCCGGGCCTCTCCCAGCCACGGGCAGAGGGGATCTGCCTCTCCCCGGACCCCTGGGGCGAGGCCACGTCCGTGTGGCAACTGACCCCCAGCCGTGACCTCAGCTGGGCCAAGGTGAGCTTAACCCCCCGCCCCCTGACTGTGTAGGCATTCCCTCCAGGGGCCACTCCTTCCATGGTGACCCCAGCCTCTGTCCAGGAAGGGGGAATCACTACCTATTCCTCCCCTAACATTCACTCCAATATCTGCCAGGCTTGTGGGTTTGCATCTAAAGTAAGAATTAGGAAGAATCCAGCTCAGAAGGGGAAGCTGCGCAGAGAGGAGAGGCAGCTTGCTCGAGGTCACCCCCTGAGCTGGGACCAAAGGCAGGAGAAAGCCAGGGCCTTCCTGCCGCCTGTGCAGCTGGCGTCCTCCCCCTGGAGCACAGCCCACCCAAAGGACTGACTCCTCGCTGGGGCTCTGGGCAGGGCTGGGCCACATGGGGTCTCAACATCTCCAGCCATTGCCAGAAGACTCCCAGAGCCAGCCTAGAAGCCTGGGCCCTGGACTCCCTTACAATGGCTTTCTGCTTCCCAAAGGTATTTGGGATTCTGGAGAAAGCCAAGGAGAAGTACGGGGTGGACGACTACTCGGTGAGCCAGATCTCGCTGGAGCAAGTCTTCCTGAGCTTCGCCCACCTGCAGCCGTCCGCCACAGAGGAGGGACGGTGAAGAGCTGCCCACTGCCGCGCCTGGCACCTGGCAGGGGCAGGGTGGGCACTGTGGCGTGTCCTCTCCCTCCACATTAATCTTGTCCTTTGTTTTAATCACTGTTTTCTATGGTGGATGTGAAAAATGAGGACAGTGCGCACAGGGCAGACCCATGTCCGTGCCCTCGCCAGGGTCAGCATGCCGGGGCCACTCAAAGGCAGACTCTAACTCATGCCCAGATCGAGGCTGGCAGCCTGAGCAGCGGGGCCTCGGGTAGAGCTGTCCCGGGAAGAGACCTCACAGACCGGGAGCTCAGAGACAGGACCCACGACGTGTCCACATTTACACGTGGCACCAAGCTCCCTGGTGAGGACGCGGGAAGCCAATGGGGATGAACCACAGCAAAGCCCCAGGCTGTGGAGAACAGAAAGTGGCGCATCACCGTCACAGGGAAGACGCTAGCTGGCCACGTGCCAAGGTGCTAGTCCCCAGCCTGCCCAGGAAGCTGAGTCACGCCAGCTGAGCTGACCCTGGGCTGGGCATCTTCCAGGAGCAGCAGGGAGGGAAGGTGCCAGTCTGTCCCCAACACTGCGCCTTGGAGAAGCCACCAGCCCTGGAACAGTCAGGGACCGAGCACTACAGGGGCCGAGCAGCAGTCTCGAGGTACACTAAACACTTTGTGCAGAAGATAAAGGCCGAGGGGTCATGACCAGTCACATGTGTGAGGGTCAGGGCTCAGTCACCCGCAAGCCCTTTGCTCTGCTGACAAAAGCAGGAAGTTGCTTTTCCAATATGGGGAGGAGTCTTCCTGAATCCATTGCCATGAGATGAAAGTATAGGCCCAAAGCACAACTGAAAAAGCAGATTAAGTAAATGCCCAACTGACTCCCTTAGTCCGCACCCGAGGAGGAAGTACGGGGCTGGGGTAGGGCCAGCCGGCCTGGTGGGCAGGTGGCCTCTGGCTCCAGGCTGCCCACGGGTAGCAGGCCGTTTTCCACCCCTGGCCGCCCCTTTATGCACTATCAAGTCATCCGTTTCTAAAGCTCCGTGATTGACATTCCTGTCCATTTTACATTCCCTCACAATTTGCTTTTCATCCCAAAAAGACTTGTTTTCATCCCTTTCACTCATTTGGGACAATTTCAAAAAACAATTTTTTTTAATCCGTCTTGAAAATTTTGAAAGCTGAAATGGTTTCCAGTAGTTTTTATTCTCAAAACTTGTTCACACGATCACATGGTTCTGTGCTAACACACGTGGGGAGGCCTAAGGACCGCCTCAGAGAAGACGCCCGGAGCTGGGCTGTCCGGACCCCAGCCACAGGCAGAGCTTGGCTGCTGGGCCTGGGCCTGGGCCTGCATCTCTGCTGTGGGGAGAGGCCCACGAGTGCACGTGGCCAGGCCACAGCCTCCTGGTGTCCTCAGACTCGGCCCGAGTCCAGTGTGGGCCCGACATGTTAGAGAGCTGCCGACGCTGGCGCCTGACCTTCGCCTCTGTTAGCACGAGGAGCGAGGAGCGGCACCGAGTGAAGCGGCGCGCAGGCACGCTCACGGAACCAGGTGCATCTGGGTGACACGCCAAGACCAGCGCTCCTGAAGGCAGCAGAGCCACGGGGTATGTGTAGTGCAGAAGGGCATTTATAGGAGGGACCCGCTCACATGCCGTGGCAGCTGAGAAGTCCCACCACAGACTGCGAGCCGGAGGCCCTGGGATGCGATGCTGGCAGTGTGGACCCGTCCACGTGGGAAGGTCCCAGGCAGGGAAGCGACGGTGTGACTCGGCCTAGGGCCAGAAGCATGCAGGCTGCCCCCCGGCAGCCCTGGGGCCCCAAGGCAGAGCACGTCCTGGTGCCAGGCAGCTGGCGGCTGCTCTTGCCCGCCACGCTGAGGGCAGCACCGTCCTCCCAGTCTCCTCAGACTGGAACATCCATTCTTCTGGAAGCATCCCAGACACCCAGAGTGATGCTTTCTGACACCCAAACGAGACAGCACAGGGTGTCACAAGTAGAAATCTAAAGAATTATTTTATTCTTTTTTGGGACAAGCAGTTAGCGTAATGGCTATGTTGCTGGACTCCCACGTAGTCGACCGCTGTTCGTGTCCTGGACCCGGTGGCTTAAACTCACGCTGGGCACGTGTGCATGCGTGCCCAAGATCCCGAGGAGAATGAAGAAGGGATTGCGGCATGGCCATCCCCTCTGGGGGGTGATTTCTCGCTTTCTATCTCTCTGTCTCTCT